ATGATATACCTATTCATCACATTAAGTTTGACGAGAGGTCTACATTAGTTATTATGCCAAAGCTCCAACGTTATGCCTTGTCTATTCCAAATGAAGAGAGAAATGATTACCAAGTAATGGTTGATGATCATATACAAAGGGAAGGTTCACATTATCTTGTGGAAGTTGATGACCCTCTAGTAGAAGAAGTACCACTAAGGAGATCTCAAAGGGTGAGGAGACTAACTATCTCTAGAGATTTCATTTGTTATCTACAAGAGTATGATTTTGATGTTGGCATTGAAAATGATCCAACAACATATAAAAAAACCATCAATTGCCAACAATAACCCAAATGGCTAAGTGCCATGGTTGATGAGATGGAGTCAATGAGGAAGAATAAAGTTTAAGGTCTCATAGAATTACTTGATGGATCCAAAATAGTTGCTTGAAAATGGGTGTATAAAACTAAGCGAGATTCAAGTGGCATCATAGAAAAATATAAAGCTCAATTGGTAGCAAAGGGCTTCACTCAAAAGGAAGGTGTTGACTACAAACAAACATTTTTCCCTATCTCCAAGAAGGATTCCTTCATAATTGTCATGGTTCTCATAGCTCATTTTGATCTAGAATTACATCAAATTGATGCCAAAATAGTCTTTCTAAGTGGTGTATTACATGAAGATGTATACATGGTTCAACCTAAAGGTTTGAAGTGGAGGATAAGAAAAACCTTGTGTGCAAATTGAAGAAATCGATTTATGGCTTAAAGCAAGCATCAAGACAATGGTACATAAGGTTTGATGAAGTCATCACCTTTTTTGTTTTTAGAGAAAAGTGGTTGATGAATGTATCTATCTCAAGATTAGTGGGAGCATGTCAATGATATCTTGCTTGTAAGTAGTGATATGAAACTGCTTTTGGAAATTAAGTAATTTTTAACAGATAATTTTGACATAAAAGACCTAGGAGAAGCATCTTTTGTCATCAGTATCCAGATACATCATGATAGAACCATGGGCATGTTGGGACTGTCTCAAAGAGCCTACATTAAGGTTCTCAAGAGGTGTGGCATGGACCATTGTTCGCTTGGAGATGTTCCAATCACTAAAGTCGAGAAACTAAGTAGGGCTCAATGTCTAAATATTGAGTTAGAGGTTGAAGAGATGAAGAAAATAATGCACAAATTCTACTATGACTCAATTATTGGGAGTCTAGTGTACTTTGAAGTTTGCACCCAACCGGATATTGTCTTTGTAGTTAATGTACTTGGCAGATATCAAATAAATACTAGAAAGAGCAACAAAGAAAGTTTTGAGGCACCTTCAAAGAACCAAAGATTTCATGCTCACATATAACAAAGCTGATACCCTTGAGGTAGTTGAGTATACAAATTCAGACTTTGTTGGTTGTCCAGATGATATAAAGTCAACATTTGGTTATATTTTCATGCTAGTTGGAGGTGCTATCTCCTAGAAGAGTGCTAAGTAGACACTTACAATTTTGTCAACTATGCAAGCAGAATTTGTGGCATGTTACGAGGCAACTAATCAAGCCATCTGGTTACGAAACTTTATTTCAGGGCTTCGAGTCATGGGTACTATTTTCAAGCCACTGAGAATTTATTATGACAACTTTGTAGCCGTTTTCTTCTCTAATAACAACAATAGTTCGGGTGTGTCTAAACACATGTACATAAAGTTTCTTGTTGTGAGAGAGAAGGTTTAGGAATAGGAAATTACTATGGAGCATATCAACACCACAACTATGATAGCTAATCCATTGGCCAAAGTTATTAATGTAAAATCATTCATGGAACATGTAACCCACATGGGTGTTGTGGAATCATTTGATTCACTTGGTTAGTAAGAGTATTTTTTGCTAGCATAAAGTCAACATTGTTGTTCCCATGCAATATAATTTTGCTTCATTTGCTCTACATTAATTATTTGCTATTCCACTATAAGGATTCTAGTAGGTTGCAAATAACAGGAGTCTAAGGGACCATAAAGGTGGAAGAGATCACCACATCATACGGATCATTCCACATTAACGTTATGTACTATGGAGAATAAGGATGGCAATACAATGACCATAGAATGGCGTTACGTCATGAGTAAGATGTAATGACCTTTGTGATCTTTTATTGACAATCTCATTTGTCTCAATTTAGTTTACTATTAAGAATGCCATAAGGAATGTGAATTAAATGTGATTAATTAACCATGGCCAAGTAAAACAAATAATAATTAAAGTGTTTTATTTACTTTATGAAACAATACACTAATTTATAAATTTTTTGCAAGACCAAGTGAGAGATTGTTAGAACTAAAGAAAGAAGAAATGTTTAGAACGTTTCCTTTTGTTTTAATGGCCTTGCAAAGGATCATTTGGTAACGGCTCCATTCACTAAGCATTCAAAGCCATGAACAAGCACCTTGATGGGAAGATGACAGTTCTTTGAGATGGCTATAAAAGGGAGGGTCCCCAATTCCATGCTATTTATCTCAATCGGCAAAGAAGCTCTCCCATCGAGCAGATAGTAAGAACAGGGTTGAAATGATCTCCCAGAAGAACAAGTTATGGCTTCTTCAAGATCTCTGGTTTCAAGTAAGTTTTCTCTGTTTTTCTCAAGCATAAGGTTGTATTATTCTATCACCAAATTGTTAGAATAATGAAAGAAGTCTGGATTAAAGCCCACTTGAGAGTGAATCCAAACAGCTCTCGAGAAATTACATTCAAAGAACAAATCTGGATTAGACCACTTAATTGGTGAGAAAGACGGTTCACAAGATGATCTACTAAAAAGTCAATAAGCTAATAATCTAACTGAAAAAAGCCATTTGAAGTGTCTCTCTTCCACTGTAGCTTCTCTTCCCAGTGGATGCAAGAGAGAAGGATATTGATAATGGCCTTGACTAAGGATTCTAAACTCATTAAGAAGATATAAATTCCAGCTGCCTTCATATGTGATAAAACTTTTGACTTTTAGGGGTGCCAAGGCTTCTGAAATTTGAATTCCTTTGAGTATTGGTATACTATTGCAAGCCAAAGCACCCATGGGTTCTTTCATTCCTTTTCCCCTCTTCTCTCATTTAATTTGGTGCCAATATCTGGTTCTTTTAACTATACAACTTTCATCATGAAACTAGGAATCGGTAGACATTTTAGGTCCTGCTTAAATGATGGTCTTCATGAGTTCAACGGGCTAATCATCTAACTAACAAGTAATATTGTGACCCATGGAGCATTTCCAATTTTTTTGTCCGGTTCGAGTCTCACAACATTGAATTTTAGGGTTTAGACCCCTACAAAAATGATCAACCCTACTAAATATAAGACAATTAACAAGAAGGAAAGAAAAAGATTGAATTAATACTTATATAAGTCTTTAGCTTTATAATTTAATAATAAACATGTAATATCTCTTGCCCTCTCTTCAACTATCCTACATAGCCCATATAAAAATAAAATGACAATTTTAGACACTTTTGTTTAGTTCTTAAATCATAATTTTAGACACTTTTGGTTCTACATAATAGGTGCCTAGAGTCAAAATTGCCCATTTTGGTTCCAACCATTTGGCTGGTCAAAATGGGATTCCCATTCCCATCCCTAGTAAAATGGGATTCCCCAAAGAGACTAGCCATTCCAATCGCTCTGAAAATGATATTTCCATTCAAGAGTTTCTCAAAAATAAAGAAGTCTTTGACGAAAAGAAAAGAATAACCCAATCCCTAATACACTTCACCTAACTTCAACCCTTCATCTATTCCTGCTAGTGCCCCCTACTTAAACATAAGGATGTCCATGTAAGTATAAATCAATCGTAACCCTAAATCGGATCTCAAAATGAAAATAGACCTAGGCGTAGGCCTATTTATAAGGAAATCAAATTTGATCCTCACAAAACCATGCTCACACTGTTCATACAGTCCCTTGCACGATTGCAAAAACATATAAGTACAAAATATTTCCAATGCACGATTGCAAAATGGTTGTACGAATGGTCTAAGCATTGAAGCCAATTTCATTTATAAATGGGAGGTAAAAAATCTATGGTGCGGAAAAGACATGATACTGAAGAGTCTTTGACCAATCAAAAATCCCGTGAATTTTGATGAAAATCCACTTGATTGATTACCCTTTTTATGATGTCATTTGATTGATTATAATTTTTTCAGTATTATGTCTTTTTTGGCATCATTGTCAAATGCAATGCTTTTGACCCATTGTTTGACTCAGAATGCTGAATGATAACCCATTATGTGGAAGGAAAAACGATTTTATTTTAATTTTCAAGTAGATCTGTTCATGGGTCGAATCAGGTTTGGGCCAAGCTTTGCCTTTTTATAAATAAAAAATTACCAGGTCGACTCCGAGCCCAATTTGGACAGATATTTTATATTATATTAATTATACTATTAATAATATATTACATTATATATTATAATATATATAACTTTTTCATTACTAATTTTAATAATAATAATAATAATATGCTTATATTATATCTAATATTATTGGGCTAAATTTGAGTTTGAGTTGAGCTCAAAACTTTGTTCAAGCCCAATTAAAAACGGGTGATTCCGAGCCAATCCGTGGGTTACCCAGCCCATGAATAGATATATTTTCAAGTCATTTTTCACATGGTTTTCAAAACCGAACTGGACCAGACGATCGGACTGGAAAAATTGGGAACCGGTCAAGTGACCGTTTCGTTTTTCCCCAAAACCAGATTTTGCTCAAAAAACCGTTAATTTTGGTCAGAAAACTTCTGACCCAGGCAGTTAACCTTTCGAATGGTTTTGATCGTTCTTAATATTTTTTTATTTTTTTATTTTTTTATCAGAACGGGCCGACCGTTTGACCCGGGAACCGGACCTCTGACCGGTTCGTTCTCCGAATCGGTTTTAAAAATCTTGGTTTTTTTCATCACTGATTAATCTGATACTGAACGAGTGAACGTGAGATAGAGTCGGGTCAGCTTATATCTGTCGGGTTGATCCGGACAATATGATTCTTCTTCCTCTTCCCACACAAAAAAAGTCCACTTCCGGGTCCCCTTTTAGGGTTCTTCTCTTTCCCGTCGACAAAGAAGAGAGAAATGAAAGTTCACGGGGGTTCAGCTTCAGCAGAATAGATTGGAGCTTAAGGTTCGATCCACAGCTCTCCAAGTCGGATTTGCACAGGTACATTTACTTTTTTTTTTCTTCTTTTTTCTAAGTTTATGTTGAAAATTTGGCGGTTTCTTCTCTGTGCTTGAAAGAAAAAATAAGGACGTTGGCCCCTTTTTCGTTTTTTTCTGCCTGAAAAAACAGGGGGTGTCCTGCTTTCTTTTTCTGTTAATCTTCATTGATTTATCCCAGAGGGCAACAGGGAGTTCCGCCTCTTTTCTCCTCTCACTGTTTTCATTTTTTTTTTTTTTCTTTCCGATAAGAAAGAAGCTTCTTATTTACCTGCAAAAATGAAAATATGTTTGTTAAACATAAAATATTAGTACTTACTGCTCACTGGTTACTGGTTGATACCTCAAAATCCTTGTTGTTTACTGTTTTTTTTTTCTTTAAACCTGTTAATTGTATAACATTGTTTGCTATTAAGTGCTATAGAATCATATTGCTAATTTCTTTGGTTGCTTCATACTTTTGTCGACAATGAGTTAGACACCGTGTATGTCTTTTTTTTGGTAACCAACACTATATATGTTTTGCAATTCATGAAAACGGTAAAATAGTGAGAAGTGATTTGTGAATCAAGTGATGGACTGATGGTTGATAAGGTTATATCTTCTTCTTCTTCTTTTTTTTTTTTTTTTTGCTCTTTCTAATCAGTATTAGTTTATTAATTGATTATGTTGTGTAATTGTATCATACTTGTGTTCCATAGCACTCCTTGTTCTGATTCTTCCTTTATTTTTTGGAAATTTATTCAATAATTTTATTGTATTTTAAATTACTAGTAAAAATGCACAAGCGTTGTACGTGAGAAAACCACCCAAATAACTCTTACTTTAATTTACCATAAAATTAGCTCTTACAATAATGGTCCATAGAACTTCCACGCAAGTTCATATGTTTAGGCCAGTGGTTTAAAAGGCATGGGAGGCATATGCCTGGAGGCACGCCTCCAGGCGAGGCGCTCCCAAAACGCCCGCCTCAGGTGCAAGAGGCGTACGCCTCTTGCGCTTTTCTCATGAGGCATGCTAGAGGTGTACGCCTCTTGCACCTCATGCACATCTGATATGAAAATACAGAAAAAAAAAAGAAAAAAGAAAAAAAGGAAAGGAAAGGAAAGGAAAAGAAAAGAAAGGGAAAGAAAAGGAAAGGAAAGATAAGAAAAAAAGAGAAAAGGAAAGAAAAGAAAAGTAAGGGAAAGGAAGAAAAGATAAGGGGAAAGAAAATGGTTTGCCCCCTGTCCCTTCGGCTGGGGGGCTTCACCCCCCAGACCCCCCCGCCCCTTTTCCGATGCAGCCCAATCGACAAGACCCCCCTTTGAATTACTGTTATGCATCTTTATTCTTCTTAATATAAAAGATTTTTATTAAAAATAAAGAAAAAATGAGATTCCCGTTCCTTTTCATCCTCCTCATAACCCCCCTCCTCTTAAGGAGGCTTACGCCTCCTTGTGTTCGGGAGGCTTACGCCTCTTGCGTTCTGAATTACGCCTCACGTCTCTAGGTAGTCGAACGCCTCGCGTCACGCCTCCACATTTTAAAACACTGGTTTAGGCTATACGCTATAAGGCATAATCTAGTTAAGTGAGTTTTTATGCAATTGAACTATTGAACCAACATGTTTCAGAAACCAAACCCATCAATTTCCAAGGGTGAACATTTCAACTATTGTCTTACTGAGAAAACTATCACCCTCTGCTCCAAATGGGTCATCCCATACCTATTACATGGCTTTGTGTATTGCTTAGCAATGGTGTCCATGAGGTTATTTGTTGTTCCACTTTTTATTTTTTTAACATAGGCAGTAAAAATGAAAAAAAATATATATGTATGTACCCCATCTTAATGGAACTTGATTATGGAAGCAGAAGATGGAATTTCCTTCAAGCCATAAGGAGTTAAATTCTCCTTAATCATAGCTTTTCTCAAACCAGTATACAAACAGCTATGGTCTCCCCTACTTTTTCACCCAACACTTGGGGTGGTATGTAAGAAATAGGAAAAAACACAGAGCAAATGAAGGAATTATGTATTTACACATTACTTAAATACTGACATGGTAGCTGAAACATATGCTAAGAAATTTCTTCCCCATTGCGTCCAATGTCTGAACCAAAATGAAAAGTCTCAAGATCCAGAAGCCACTTCCATTAGCATCTTGGTACTTGGTGAAGATCATTAATTTGTGGAAACTCCCCTCAACAAGTCCCACTGTATTCCATCTGCAGGCGCACTAACAAAACACTTTTAAATACCCTTTTGTACATTTTTCTTCGCCTAGTTATAGTCCTTTTCTCAAAAAAAAAAAAAAGCTTCGCTGGAAAATCCTTGAATGGATTGATCTCTGGGCATAAGAATGCTTTGTTGTCAAGAGAGATCATAAGTTAGAGATTATGGGATTAGGAAGAGATAAAAAGGGAAAACGTTTGGAAATATATAGGCTTTGGAGAGAATAACAAGTCAGAAATTTTAAATGACACAGAGAACTCCCCTTGCAATCTGCTTCACCACACAGGTAAGTATGAAAAAAATTCCCAACTCAATTCCTAATAAATGGAGAGACTTCATATAAATTGCAGTGACAAAAACTTCTCTAAAAGCTTTTAGGAAGCAAAATGAGATTAGGTAAATGTCATCTCTAGTAAAATAATATTGTTTGTGGTTTTTTGAGATGGGGTTTGGGTACTTCAACCAGTTGTGAGGTACATTGAAGTTTTATTTTCAAATTTCTGATTCTTGTATTACAAAATTGTATGGTTCAATGTGTAGTGGTGTGGCCTATCTCAAAAATCAAGCAAACGAAGAATGAATTATATATGACGGATCTATTATTTTGATGCATGGAGTTCTATTGAAAGGAATAGAAATAATTGGAGGCTCTATGCCCTCAACAGAATATGCCCTATTCACTTTTATTATAAATTTTAATTTGCTTAAATTTCTTGTGTGATGTCTACAGGTTGGACTTCTGGTTTTCTGTTATCGAAAAGTGCAAAGGGCTTTAGGATTTCCGAAGTTCAGTCATCCAAGCTTATCCCCAAGAATAGTAAGTTTTTTCTTATCGAAGTTGATTGTGTGAATTTCTTTGGTTTTTGCTTGAATAAAAGAAGCTAATTTGGGTTGTTAACATACTTTTCATGAAGCCAAAAATTTTGGGACTTATTCTGTGGCTTGTAATTATTTCTTTTTTGTTCTAATAGATATTTGTTTATGCTTGTTACTCTGAATATGGTATGTTATATGTTAGAGAAACAATCATGATAGGTCTTGAATCTGCAACTGTTGGTAGCTGGATCATTAGTCTACCAAATAAGCAATATAGGATTGCGTAGAAATTTAATCACATGTTTTCCCCATGTCTTCATTTTTTATGGAAATACCATAATAATTTTTATTTTTTCAGGCTTACACCTCAAAGCACCTTGAGGCCTATGCCTCCAAGTCCCAACTGCCTTGCCTCCACCTTTAGCCTTTTAAAAACCTTGATTTTGGCTATCTCTTGGATTTGTTCTCATTTTTATCCCCTTGATTCTCGGTGGGTTTTCTATTTAGCCTTTTAAAAACCTTCGTTTTGTTTTTTGATAAGTAGTCCTGTTAAGCTATGTTACTCCATGTATTTAGTCCTGTGCAGAAAATTTATGTTGCTTTTGTTTGTTTTCATCTATATTTTTCTTTTTAATTCATATAAATTGATCCTTCTGCTTGAGAGGTTCCAGTCCAACATGGTTGCTACTTGAAATTTGTTTATATCCCATAATCAATATAGAAATTTTACGATTCCTTGTTTAAGATTCACATCTTGTTCTCACAGGAGAGCAGATATCAGTGAATGTTGAGATTTATGATTAGTTTAAATGCTATCAAAAAATTCATGATTAGTTATGAATTACCTGTCGACATTTTATGTCGAAACAGTATAATATTATAATCATTATAAAATAAACACATGAAAATTTGCCAGATTATGGGATACGTGAGTTTCCAAAACAACTAGTTGGCATATCAGGAGAGACTAAGGGGGTTTTTGCCAATACGTATGATTTTGCTTTTCAACAGTAAACAACTGACATATCAGCAAAATAATGTGATTTTTCTAATGCGCCAATTGTTTATGTTCTGAAAAACAAAATCACCCATATTGTTGTGAACACATCCTATATTTGCTAATAAAATCCCCTTTTTGTTAACTGAACAAAACAGAATGGTGAAGAAAGAGCGAGAGAGGGACCGGGATAGAGACAGAGACAAAGACAGAAGAAGAGATAGAGAAGACCATGGCCATGACCGTTCCAAGGACCGTGACCGGGATAGGGACCGGAATAGAAACAGAGACAAAGACAAAAGAAGAGATAAGGAAGATCGTGACCATGACCGTGCCAAGGATCGCAATCGTGAACGTGACCATGCCAAGGATCGAGACCGTGACCATAGAAGATCCAACACACCTGAACATACCCGATCACGGCATACCCGTTCCCGGACTCGGTCCAGATCTCATTCCCCGTCTCGTTCTCGTTCTCGCTCTCGCTCCGTCGACCGATCACGTCACCACCTCCACTCCCCACTGCCAGACTCACGTCACAAGCACCATCGCCACAGAGATGAAGATGACAAGGACCAGCAACGAGCTGCTGCAGTATCTGAGTTTGTTGATGGCATCGCAAGGGAGCAGCAGCTTAAGCAGCATGATTCATCGGAGGCTCCTCTGATTACTGCCGGTGATGCAGAAATTGATTCTGATGAGATAGAGCTGATGAAGAAGTTGGGGATTCCAATGGGGTTTGATTCTACGAAAGGAAAGCCAGTCCCTGGTGCTGATTTAAGTGGAGTTAGGGCTGTGACAAAACGGCAGCCAAGACAATATATGAATAGGAGAGGAGGTTTCAATCGGCCGCTGCCATCAGAGTGTAATCGGTAGATTGTTTTTCTTAAAGGGTGGACGGAGCATGCTGGGTTTGCCCCATTGAAATGATTGTATTGGCTACTTGAGAGATTGTAGTTAACATCTGATTTGTGTGAAGTTGAGCTAAACGTATTTCTTTAGAAGTTGATTTACCCAAGTGAAGTTATGAATCATATTTTTCCCTTCACAATTCTACCTTGTTAACCAACTGAGCTTTCACATTTTTCGGTCATCTACGTTGTCAAAGAGCCTCACATCTCCACCAGTCTACCCCTCCCAACACCCCAGATATCTGAGACCAAGCTGATTTCTCTTCCTCTAGTTATCTAAAATGTAGCAAACCACAAGTAATTGTTGATTTATTGTATATTCCACCCTTCCATTTAAAAATCCTGGAGGGATTCATTTTCAAGGTTCCTTGATCTTCTGCTAAAATAAACAAAATGTAATGAAAACTTGGAATTTAAATATAGGAGGAATGTTTGGACCATTTACAGCGGTCTGAAGGTTAGCTGTGGGATTTTCATACACATTCTTTCAATTTCAAGTTTTTTTTTTTTTTTGATAATTGAAATTATTTTATAAACCACTCGAGAACAAAACCAAGGATCCAGCCAACTCGTTGGAGAGTTTCCGCCAGTGGCAAACATCAGCGAAGGACTGCTCTCTGAGCTGAAGTACGAGTGATTAGAATAAAAGCCTATATATGGACTTTACATCATTTGCAGACTGTATTCTTTGTACTGTAGTCTATTAATTGCAGAAAGACAGGAAACTTTCATTTGAAGCTTTCAGACTTTTTACCATTTTGGGCTTTTGTGAGCTTTTAGCTTTCTGTCTTTTATTACCAAACGTAAAAAGATCAAATTTTGATCTTACAAGCTTTGAAAAACTCGAAAGGCCAAACCAAGACTTGCCAAATGCCCTCTTAGCTTTTCAAAATATCTTTCAATTTCTAGTTAAGTTATTCTATACCATGATAAAATTTCGAATACATCATTTGCAACTTGACTGGATATAGTAAGTTCAAATTACATCCATGAATATTCAGATTCAAATCAAATTTCATCTATCAGATTCAGATCAAACTTAGATTGACCCAATTTGGAAATTGCATATGATTAATAACATAAATAAAACCCTTGTCAATTGTCATTGCACCATTTGGAGCCATCTCACTCCAGAAAAAATTTATAATATTAAAGTTGCCTCTATATGTTCAAAACGTTGAGCAAATCATTTCCTCTCTTCATGGTCCTTGAAGGAACCAGAGTGACAACCCCCTACTCTCTCTCTCTCTCTCTCTCTCTCTCCATCCCACCCCAACGAATACAGGTTTTCTGTTTGCGGAACAACAATAGAGCCCAAGCGAGCTACTTGAACCCCACCTCCTTGTTCCACTGGCATCTATTTTTTCCGGCGATTATTCACACACCAGACGAAAACCCAAAAAAAAACTTTTATGTTTAAAACCCGAAACCAAAGTGAAGCAGAAAGACAATGCACACAGAGGGGGCCCATGGCGATTTGTACAAGGGCTTCATCCCTACAATCAAGGGGTAAGGGCCATTAATGAGGCATATCTTTTAGACTAGTCCTAATGAAGTAGAAAATTTCCAAATTGGTAAAGTTAAAACCACCCCACAACCTACAATCATCATATATCTTCATAAATCTCTATTCCTGGTTCAATCGTGTCATGGAGAAATTAAGAGAGATGTCTTTAGATGTTCTAGAGTAACCTGTTCATAGTGGTTAAGTTCATGACTCTCGAAGTCGAACAGGTCCGAAAGTTGAACAAAAATTTCTAATCTGGAGGGGTGATACAGATGATTATAAAAACCCACCAAAATAAAGATTGATTCATTTGTTTCTGTTATTATTTTTATTATTGTTATTACTTGATTCTTCAGCTATTTTTCTTTTTTGAGGAGAGAGAGAGAAAAGAAGGAGAATGATATATTTTAAAATTTTAATGAACAGTTAATGATATTTTTGTCTTTAATATTTTTCTATTAGACTTAACCTTAGAAAGGTCAGCGAGGTACATATAACTATATAAGTTGTTTTTAAAATTTTTAATATTTGATTATATGCACCACTAACCCCATCCCAAAAGTCGGTGGTTGCGGGAATCGGATCTGGGTCTATGCTGGAGCGAACCAGCTAACATACCAACTGAACCACCTTCTCATTTGGCTAAAAGTTCAAGGCATATATAAATAAGTTTCTCACAGGATATATATAATTGACCCTAAAGTAAACTAAAAAAATAATCAGAGTATTATGTGTCATTAACAAAATAAACTGGGCATATCTTTATATCTTCCGAATAATATGGCATATAAGTCACGACATTCAAACATTTGGAGAACCATATACATTTCAATATTATTATCAGATTCGGATCGAATTACGAGTGGATCTATATTCGGTGCAAATCGAATATGGATCACCTTCAAATTTGATCTAGACAGGCGGATATGATTTGTGGCCCCAGTGGGATACAAACCATTTTGGAGCACTAAGGAGGCAGTATGTGTTACCAGATGCCAATGCAAGGCAGGCTAACGCTAAGCACAAGGGGGACAAGGATCAAATCACCTTGACTCCTTGAGATCCTAGCTAGACTAGATTGCCCAGTGAAGCACAAGTTCCAATAAAGAGGCTAGCAAATATTCGGAGGATGACCTAAGAGAGCCTAGAATGAGGGTACAGAAGTTAATGTTAAACCCAAATCAACATCATAAAATTAACAATCTGAGTGTTGTAAGTTTATACTATACTATTCTGATGATTAATTTTATAATATTTTTAGCCTCTATGTAAAATCCAATCCGACTCCAACAGATTTGATTCGATAATGAATCAAATTCCATCAGTTTAGTTTACTACTACTGTCCCTAGTTGTAAAGTAAGCACTAGGACATAATTTTGCCTTTCGTTTACCACAACAAACAGTTAAAAATCACATCTCAGCCAGGCTCTAACACCACCTTACTCGGACAAAACTTTCGATGTCCAGCTGTGAACGGGCCTCTCAGTAATACTTTTAGTTCACTTCACAAACTGCAACAGCAACAGTTTTGGTGATGTATTGGTGGGTCCCACCAATACTCAAAATATGAGAAGTTTTGGGATATGACCAGTTTCAGGGGTAGTCAGGACTTGTACCGGCCCCCCACCCCTCCTAAACATGTTTGGAAAAAAAAACTAAAACAAAAGTAAATAAAAACATATAATTTATAAGTGTGATGTGCCCCATCCGATGTATCGATACTTTAAACCTTGATTAATGTGTCACGCATGAGAGCCCTGTTGAACTTTAGACAATCAAAAGATATTGAATCGACCATTGTAAAGGAAAAGAAAAAAGAATGACAAGATTTAAGACATACCATGCAGAATATTTAACGGAGAACAAAATCATTCTGTGTAATAACGTGGAAGGCAAATCCTACTTGTGCCACTAAGAGAACATAATCCAGCCCTGGTAAGAGAATTAACGAAATTTAACAGGATCTCCAATTGCCCAACTGGATATCTCAGATATACAAGTTTTCTTCAGAGCTTTTTCCACCACATAAGCAGACCTATATAATAGTTTAAAAGTAGACAACAGAATATAACTTCGCATGCAGATGACACCGGAAGCACTTTCCCAGCATAGCATTGCTGTAGTGGAAGATAACAGGAATATACAGCTCCAATAGGTAGCTCTTTCTCATGACCATTTTAATAATAACAGAAAATCGATGCCACTTACCACCATGGACGATCTCTAACCAGCTTTTTCCCCACATTGTCATTATCACCCGTATAAATAACTTGCCATCCTTTCTTGGGATCATCCAAAATCTGTTCCATATAAATACACTCCAACTCACAAATCAAATTATACAAAACAAGCTTTGTAAGATCAACTGCCTGGCCTACAATACTCCTTCGCTTGTGAACCTGCAGTTTAAATCTCATAGCGAAGTATAGTTCATTGCAACATCAAATGGCATAGCTCTTATAGCACTCAGAAGGTTTACTTTTGTGCAACCCTTCCCCACAGATTTGCTCAATGTAGGGGACTTCAAATGTGACTGCTTTTCTGCAGAATGCACAAAAGTGGGCTCAAGATTCAAGTTCTTAGTTGAATGAGATGTTATTAGAGTGTCAACATCCTCTTCATTTGCTGCTTGAGATTCCTCATTCAACAAAAAACCAAAGAGTCTGCAACCACTTCTACTGGCAGGAAGCAACTCTTGATTACCCTTTAATGCTGTCTGGCTTGTTGCAGCAGAAACATACTTGGTGGTGTTCAATTGATTATTTTCTTGAAATTTATCTATTGAAGACTTGCCTCCCAGTCCTTCCATGGTATGATGACATGAGGGTGATGTTACTTTCCAACCTGATGTTTGAGAACCATCAAACAATCTACAGTAGTTACCCTCCTCCCCTTTCTGATTGTTGAAGCCATATGCAGTGTGAGAGTTTTGAATGCTTGCCTGTTGGAACATCAGAACAGAAGATGGAGAAGAAACTTGCACAGACGATGTGGATGGTTGGACATGATTACTGAAGCCTTGGATAAGTGAAGTCCACCCACTTCCAGAACTTGATATGTGAACCCCATCGCTTCCAAACCCACCACTTCCATGACCTAGACTGGCTCTTCCATATGGTGGTTTTGGAAATATTTCTTGACCTTGCAAGACCTTATGGAATCCAATAGATTCACCAAAGCCTATGCCTATAAATGGAATATCTGAATTTCCATGTGGGACTCTTATGCCACTCCCTATAGCAGCCATCCCTGAACTGTTTGAACCAGGAAAGCATCTCCTTGATTCCGATGGATGATGATTCTGTACATCAAGACCATCAGAAGGAGTAGTGAAACCGAAAATTTCTTGACCTTGCAAGACCTTCTGGAACCTTAAAGATTCCCCAAAGTCTGAAAATCCTGTCCCATCTGTAAGAAGATTGATACATGAGAAAAAAAAATAAGTTTTACCAAAAAAAAGGGAAAAACAGAATGATTCCTGCAAAAAATCATCTTATTGGACTTCTTTAGCAAAAACATACTAGGGACTGGAAAATCTGGCATGGCTGAAGGCAGAGTCATCCTGGTTCTCTTTGAACCAGGTGCAGACAAACTGCTTGAAGCTGAAACTGAGCCAGATGGCTCAATCTCCCACGGAGAAACTCGATTGTGTCGATTTGTCTCAACAACATTGTCCCACCTCACCTGCAGCATTGAACCATACAAAGCTATAATGAGGCTTAAGAATTTGTGGAACTTAAGACATGTTACAAGTCAAAACAAGATGCAAACAGTTGAGAAGGTAAAATGTTTTATTTGAGTACAGACATATTAAAAGAGAAGTACTGCGTTCAGCAACTTCTTTTTTTGTGAAATATGGACACTTAGGTTTGGACAAGGGCAAAAACAATGGAATACAAGGTCAATTGCATTAAAAATCAGATAAATAACCAAAATCAGAGTAGGTCATGATAGGGACAAAGGAAACAACAGATTGGATAGAGTAGGTCTTTGATAGAGGAGTTTCTAAACTGCACCGGTCTTAAGACTGCACCCTTGATTGAAAAATGAGGTAGAGAGGTTGACAACAATGAAGAAAGACTTCATTGCAAACAATGATAGGAAAGTACCTGATTTCTTCTGGAAAGTGCAAGGCTAAAATGCAGTGTTAAATAACAATTGTCTTGGTAAAAAGAGCCTTAGCTAATGCTTCAAAACATAAAACTCAATAACTAGCAGATAGGGAGAGAAAGGAGGGGGAATCCAACTGACTATAAGCTACAGTTAACCGTTAACGTGGTGAGCAGAATATCACACATAACTCAAGTTTCAGGCAAATGGACCCCAGCACAAGGCAAAAGGAAGTCATATGTCTGCATGCATGAGGAAGGCAATATAATATTTGGAAATCATATTTTGCTTCATTATATAGTAAAATATGGGGGCATACCAATAGGGATCTCCATTTTGAACCAGGCCACCTAACAGGATCTATATCACTAATCCCAGCTATCAACCCAGTGTATCTGCAACCAAAAGACAAATATATAATGCATAAATAAACTTACTTTAACTGCATTTAATTTGAATGACCTGCAAGAAATAGAACATGCATACCTTCTCTCTGCTGCATCTTCAGTTTCAAACCTCATTTTGAACTTCATTCCAACAGAGAATGGCTGATCGAAGCTCTTGAGGAATTTGCAGAGAGGAATTATAAACTCAGACTGGGTTGCCCTGTAAAGGACAAAACTGAAGTTCAGATGGTTTGACACACTAATAGGAGAACACCAAGTAAACACTAGAATCATGTAATTAGCACCCTATACAAGCAATGCACAAAGTTTACTTGTACAATTTGTATTGCAATAGAGTATCACATTGTCCAGCCAATTATAATAAAACTGACAAAAATTGCTTCTATACTGAGAAGAAAGGATCAAGGGAAGGTGAGTCAACATGACTGAAGAAAATGCAAGATGAAGTGACAACGTATCTCTAGTTGAATAGTGAAATCGGTAATCAGAATTCAAAGAAGTGGATGAAACACTCCCCACCATCTAAAATCTTTAATATAAATGCTTTTTATTTTTGTACGAGGAACAAACCTTTGATGTAAATGTTACTCATATATTTTCCACTTGATGATGCCAAATGGATCTAGGTTTGGTCCACACCTCAACTATCAAACCTTAAAGATCACCCCAACTGGAAGGGTGCTCTTGTCAAATCAAAAACAACAAAGCATGTGCACCACACTATAAGATATCCTCTTCTGACGTGTACATCTCAAGGATGAAAGGAACACTAGCCACTGCATATATGACAATATGTAACTGACCAAAGCATGTTAAATGGCCAAATAAGAACAAGCTGATCAATTCACAAGAAACTATGTGATCCACACTTTGTRGTACCAGGTTGAGTATCAACTACTTAGAATTGAAGTAAAGATGAAAGAACAAAAGCATTCTAGTTTTTCAAAAAAAAAAAAAAAGGATGAAAGGAACACTAGCCACTGCATATATGACAATATGTAACTGACCAAAGCATGTTAAATGGCCAAATAAGAACAAGCTGATCAATTCACAAGAAACTATGTGATCCACACTTTGTGGTACCAGGTTGAGTATCAACTACTTAGAATTGAAGTAAAGATGAAAGAACAAAAGCATTCTAGTTTTTCAAAAAAAAAAAAAAAGATCTGAAAGAAAATGGCTGCTAGTTTAGAGCCAAGAAGAAGTAATGCAAGAGCTGTACTTGGGAAAGGAACAGTCAGTATAGAGGATAGTTTGTAAGGCCATCATAGGAGATAATGACAAACATAATCCAGATGAATAAGAAGGTTGGAGGGCAATTAATAGAATGGCTGCGAAACAAGATGCGAGGCAAAAAGAATCTTTTTCTGAACCATCATGAATTAAGAGAAATGAAACACAAGAAACAAAAGACATGGCTCTCTTTCCAAATGCATTTCAAAAAAACTGATAGGTTCAGATGATATAAAACTTTGTTATTTACACATTACCAACAAAATATGATTCAGTAGGATCATGAAACCAAGCATTGAAGCATTCAATTAACATTACCTAGCCAAGAATGCTAAGCTATCTCAAACAGCAACATGTTAGATTATTGACCTTTTAATATTGACATCATTCTGCTGCAGTTCTTGGGCCTTAATGATAAGGTGCTTTGATATTGACATCAAACCAACTACAGTGCATTTCGAATATTTGATGCACATTAAACCAATATTTCAACAAATCAAAGATGCCACATGGTCTATTTACTATTTATTGGTTCATGTTTCACAAGGTGTACTTACCATTAAAGACTTTAACAACGTTAGAGGTTCAACTATGATGTGTTGCTTTATCGCTGGTTCAAAATTTTTGCTTCACGGTAGTTCATGTACCATAGATTTTTATTAAATTTAATATTTTATCATTATATACATTTATCATAACACATAAGTTAAAAGTAATTAGTTTTTTTAACTTTTTCTAATTTTTTGGTCATTTTATTCACCATAAGACAAATGTAGATTATATCTGAATCTGATCCAAGTCCAACATATTGGATTTTGAATTCACAGATTTGATAACCGATCAAATAGGTTTGTAGCTCGATCCAATCCATTACAGCCCTAGCGAGATAGGTTTGAATTATTAGATGATTCAATTTTATAATTGCATGTATTAATGCAAATTTAGAATACAAAGGTTGAATGTATGGAGGTGATATTCAATTTTTTAATTACCACCTAGGCCTAGCCATCATCATATTAAATTAAACTATAGTTTAGCTTATTTCTAAATTGTAATGTACTTTCTATCCAATGTTGCTTCATTATGCATATTAAACCTTGTTTCCAAAACTTCTTTTGTCCAAGTGCCCTTCCCCACACTAAATATATGAAGAACATACATTAAAATATATTTATCAGAAAAAATCAAATATACATTAAAAAATATCAACTTCCTTTCAAGGCTTAGATCATCATATAACACTTTTATAAGCAGTAACCACCTGCTGCTACGAGGATTTGGTCCTCTGTCTTGATGCATGGGGCATCTTATAGACTACATATTGCTCAGTCCATACAATATAACAAATAAGACACAATGAATACAATCATATGGAGATAATCCCATTGGGTTTCACAAGAACAGTACTAAGACAAATTGCCATATCAAAATTTAGTAAAACAATGTTGTGAACTGTGCAGTGGGGTAGTTTTGGAAAATGTGAATGACTCGGAAATGAAGAAAAAATTTCTCTAAATATAGTATCACTTTTTATATAGTATCTAACTTCATGGTCTCACATCTCCATTCCAAGCATAAAGATTTTCATCAACAAATAATATTCTTCAATAAGAAAACAAATCTAATCATACCTCGGATTATAGTAAACGTGGAAGACACTCTTTGAGGATACAGCATTAGCCACAGCTACTAGAGTGCCACCATTCATGTTCTGGCTACAGAGAACTGGAAAAGGAATGCTCCCTTTAACTTGAGCAGCCCTCCGGATTCCCAATCTCAATTCCCCATTGTCACCCCTGGTGAAAAATTAAATGTTATTACCTTCACAAACCAATATAGACTTCCCAAGTTCAGATGTTCACACCTAAGAAAGAGCACAGCATCCCCAGAGACGAGTTTCTTCCTATTGACAAATGCGCTCCATCCAGTTGTGAGCAAATGCCTCCGTGGCTGACCTGCATACAGAATAGAGAATGAGGCAGAAGAGGCTTAAAAAAATTTAATTTCCAAAATATGCAAGATGCTGAAACTCGGCTACATAGATCACTCTCAACATAACCAAACTACAGAGGCGAGTATTGGCCGAAAGACAAAAGGGAACTGAATGAAATTAAATGAAAAAAAATTAAAAGAATTTTCATGTCTACCATCATACCCCTGTATATGTGGCGAAACTTCCACTCAACACCATGTAAATCTTTCGCTATAAGCTCCTGGGAAGGTCTCTGTTGCTTATAGTCCTGAAATAGAGAGCTAATAAAAACCCCAGAAAGAGAAGTGATTGTTTAAATTGTATAGGTTTGATTGGAGGAATTTCTCCAAGTATCAATCAATGGATTGCAGATGTACTACTTTGGTGCATCTAAAGCACTAAGCGACTTGGCGGGAAAACACTAACAGTATTACCAGAGGCGGAAAGCAGTCTTCAGCAGCTCGTCGAGGAACAGAGAAGCCTCCATGAGTACTCGTATCAGAAGCCGTCAGGGTCTTACAGAACATGTGAGGCGTTGTCGGTTTGGCCGCAACTTCAATTTCCTCTTCTTCGTCATCAGCTTCCATGCCTCCTCTGCGTAATTTCTGCTCAATCTGTTTTTCACACCACAATTCAATTAAAAAAAAAAAAAAACACACGACCAAAGGAAAAAGGAAGCAAAAGAAGAGCTGCAGAGAAAACCAAGAAGAGTACAAAAGTAAAGCTTTCGCAATTAAAAAGAATTCAAAATCTCGGAAACGTAAAGGGAAAACACAGACATGAAGGAATACTAAGATCGAAGCTCCCACAAGCAAGGACTCCAAAACACAAGCAAATGAGAAAAGAAAATAGAGGATATATTTAGTAGGAGAGATTTAAACTCAAACAAAAGCACAGAGGATTTGAAGAAATAAAAATAACGTTGAAACGCAAGGGAAAAAAACTACCTCAATTTCCGGAACCAGAGAGACCTGTGCGTAAACTTCGTCGGTGGCCATTTCCGCCTGCAATTGAAGAATTAAAGTTTTGGAAAGATTATCCAAAGAAAACCTTCATAAACAAAGCTAAGTTCAGTTCAAAAACCCTAAAAAGTTAGCACATTTACAGTTCAACTTTCAAGGTTTTTTTTTTAGTTTTTTTGGTTAACACTGACGTGAAGCTTGACGTCGACGACCCGGCAAAAGACATGAGGCGGAAGATCAAAAACCGTAGTCGGGAATTCCGAAATATGCTCCAGGTGCCCCTGCGGCAGGTACACGACAACACTCCCTTTCTTCGGCAACGATATAAGCGGCCCCGCACAAGCATGCCAGAGCTCCAAACACACCGCACCCCCCGCCGCCGACGGCAACGAAGACGACGAGCACAGTGAAGCGGACGCTGGGGAAGCCGAAGCCGAAACCGACGCCGACGAAGACGACGGCGACGAAAGCGAAGCAGGTCCACACTCGACCACCGCCGAAGCATCGTCATCATCGTCGGTGACGGTGTTGAGATCAATAACACCTCCCATCAAAATCAGAAAAAAACCCTACAAATCAAGCGAAAGTAAGCGAGAGAAGCTTTGAAGTAGTACAGGTAGTGATGGTGGTGGTGGGGTTGTGGGGAGGGTGAAGGATAAGCAGTGATGTCTGCATCTGCATTGCAGCTTAACCTGCGCACCACCCTACTCAATGTTCTCTAAAGGAGTCTGATGGGTCAAAACTCTAAAAGAGACCCGCCTCGCCATGCGACCGTACTCCTCCTGAGTCCTGATCCTCTTTTTATTTTTTTAATTTATTTATTTTATTAAATAATTTCAAATATTAATTAAAATTAATTCACACTAGCAACGAAAATTGAAAAAAATAAAAATAAAAATAAAACTATTGTTTTTTTATTTTTATCTATAATAATCTATCTGGATATTCTCTCTCTCCTCATCCTTATTTCTCCTTTTCTTTTGCTTGCATTGCAATTGCAAGTTTGCAACTGCAGCTGGACGACTGTCTGTAGCTGCTGCACTGCCGCTGCTGCTCCTCTGCTGTGGCTCTGCTTTTTTGTCTGTCAGTGTTGTAATTAAAAAACCCACAAAGACGTTATATTGCTGATTAAAGCAATAAATAAAATATTAAGAGAATAGTGAATAAACCTCCGTTGTCCTGAGACTCCCATTGTTTCTGGGGCCGACTTCATTGGACACTTCCCTCCCTATTGTTTCTACTGAATTACTATTTTACCCCAATTCACCGTTGTCCTGGTGTACAGTGCATGGACCACTAAACTAAAGCCCAGCCCATTTGATCAGACTCGCGTATTGGATGAATGTACGAAAGATTAGATGGGTGAGGGTAAAAAAAGGAGATAGGACACACACCCACAGTGTCACAGCCACCAAAAAAGGTGGACGTCTTTGTCAAGCCCATCAAATTAATTGCATGGAGCCCAAGAGGAGGAGACCGTGGGTGTGCGTGTGTCCTCTGATCCTCTCTCCCACAACCCAACAATCAAACATAAACCGGTAAACCACCCGGCCCACCCAACTAACCCGAGTCCCAAAAGTGGGTCAGTGAGATGATATTTGGAGCTTTTAAAAAATATAGGTAGGCCCCTTTTTATCTCCTCTCCTGTCCTCTCTTCTTCTTGGCCTCTGCTTTTTTTTTCTTCTTCTCTTTTTCCTCTTTTGCTTCCCTTCCTGCCTTGCTCCTTCCTTCCCCACCCACCCCACTCTATGTTTATTTATTTACTTTTATTACTATCTCTCACTTGTCAGTTTTCAGTTACCCTTTAAGGAAATCTGTAAAGGCATATCTATGTTATTTTACTCTTTTTACCTTATTCTTTCTTATTTATTGAATTTATTTATTGGCCATTAAAACATATTTTATGGTCTATATCCTTTCCTCTATCTGCATGTATGAATTGATGTGGGTTGAGTATTGCCCTTTATTGGTAAACATTTAATTTCCAAGGCATCTCATTGATGGTAAATTTGATGGCTATTGGGTCTAAAAATAGGGAATTCTAATGCTCCAGGAATCTGATGGCTAACAACTTTCCTTTGTGAATTTGGGAAAGTTGTTTAACTGGGCTGAGCACTCTTATGTTGAAGTTGGATCAGAACATTAATTGGCTAACTGATAATTGATTACTGTTGTTATTTATATAAAATAAAACAAAGTGATTGTAGGCCCCGTAGTTTGGTAAGGTTGTTGAAGGGAAGTTTTTTTTTTTTTTTTACTGTAAAGGGTATTCAGCTAGCTTGCCCTGATTGGAGAGAAAGCATTCCAATTTGTTTATTTATAGCAGTGGGGGTTAGTGATTAGTGGGTTAATTGGGTGAAGATTAATTTTAAATTCTGGTTTGTTATATATCAATAGTCAAAAACTTTTACCAACTCAGAAAGGTGGAAGATTGTGAAGTCTTGTTTGCAGTGTCTTTACTAGCTAGAACTTTCACTGACCTAAATATGTTATTTTGTTAGTTGGATTTGGTGAAACCATAACTTGCTGATATTCATGGTTACAAGAAAACCCTAATCTACCATACTGGGTAGCATTTAAAGTGGCTAATTCACCTCCATGGCTCCAACCTGTTAGATGGACTGTAAGTTTTGACTCTTGGATATTAATGGGGATTTCAAATTCTGTATCCAACAGAACTGAAATTTCTGTAGCAAACATAGAACTATTACAAAAGTCTAGAGGTAGTAGATATCCTCAGAGCTTTTTGTTACTAGATTTTGTTTCTTCTTATGCATTGTGAATTCCAAGTTCAGCCATGTACAAGAAGTCAGGTTGGGCCTTGATCAAAAGATGTCAATGAAATTACTGGGAAAAAAAGAGACAAAAAAAAAGGAAAAAGAAAAGAACAGAATAGGGGGATTTCTGTCTTGGGTTGACCTTATTGGTAAGAAAATGACTCTTAAAAGCCTAATTTATTCCGTATGAAAGAAGAAATAAAAAGAAATCGAATAGCATGGTTAGGGATGAATGAAATGAATGGATTGCTCATGCTGGGCCTTACATTTTCTTCCCTAATGTGAAGAACGTGGAGACATGAAAAATAGGTGAGAAACCATTCTGCTTTATCAAATAAGTCTCAACTACAATAATGTCCTCAATCAAGTTTTCTTTTTCTTTATGGTGGAGTCTTTTCATTCACCCATGTTTTTTAACAAATATAATCCATTAATTTTGTCTCTTATTATGATGTTTAATCTCTATACCTCATTTATCTTCTGTCCCTGCTTCACATTCTTGCTGATATAATGCCAAATTTCAAAAAGATACGGCTTCACGCACAACCAAGCACTAGCTGCTGCTGTAATTATAATTGTTTTTTTTTTCGATAAATTCTATAATTATAATTCAAAATACCCTTTTGGTCATTCCACCCCTATATTTAGTATATTTTAATTCAAAATACCCTTTTGGGGGTAACCTTTTAAGTTTTAATAGAAAACCCAAGTTACAGCTTCATAGACATAAAATAATAAACAAAGTGCAATTATTAGCAAAGCTTAGATTTTCATGGGCAGTTTGAAGTGACAGTATATATATAGAGAGAGAGAGAGAGGACATTTTGGTTAGAATTGCAATTCTCAGTGAGGGACCCTTTCCTTACCAAACAAATAAAAAAAGGAGGAGGGTCCCTCATTTGAGGAGACATCTTTTTAACCTTTCTATTCGGCTGAGAGGGAGATCAGACAAACCTATAGGTCTCGAGTATGGAGTGAACATGTGAGTGAATTTCCATAGCACAAATGATTTTTTTTTATTTTATTTTTTTCATTTTTCCAGGCCAATCATAGAGCTAGAGAGTAAGGAGGTGAATAGGGTGGATGTGGATCTAGACATTCCCTTGGTTTATGCAGCCTAGGTTAATTCCCTTTACATGACTGAAATAGCTAGTCTACTAATTAGTGGATTTATGCGGTTTGTCTGGGAATCATTTTTCCCTTTAAATGATGATATAATTCTGTTGTTATATATGGATGTTAGCTTCCCACTGAAGAAATTAAACCCTCCTCAAAACTGATAAAACTGGGTAAAATTGTATTCAATTCTTTTTCTTAATTTCATTTCCTTCTTCTTCTTCTTCATCTTCATCATCTTCTTCATCTTCATCTTCCATCTGAGATGGGTGCACGGTATTGTAAATTCTGTCACTATAACACTTTGACAATATAGTATTTATGGCTCTGCATATCACAACTTCTATCTTCTGTACGTATTACTCTATTTACTTCTTGGGCAAGGATGGCTTAACTTTATCTCTCCCACATGCTCTAAAATTGAAAATCAGTTGAAGGGGGAATATTGATTTCCTCTGGTTGTGTCATGGTAAAAAGGGGTGTTGTCCCACAAGTTTGATGATTTAAATAACCCATTCTCAGTTTTGTATAGCTTGCTCTTTAAAGAGGTGGGATGAGGTTATTCAAGAAGTGGAGCCCATTTTGTCTCTGATATCCTTGTGCTTTAATTGGGGTTTCTATTTTACTAACTCTACTGCAGCACCCTAAAAAATAGACAGACAACAATCTTGATCTTCTCTTTTAGGTCCACCTAATAAGAAACCTATACAATTATATCTGTTCGGTTACAGTTTTATTTTGACAATTGACGATTTGAGGAAATTCTTAACAAAAAAAAGTATGGAATTTTGAAATAATTAAGTGGGTATTAATCCCCCCACCCCCAACCTAACTTTGATCTTTAGACCAAAAATTCAGAGCTATCAAAAGTCGAGTTCTCAATGATGGTTCATTAAAGTACCGATATACCTCTATGTGTTGGGAGAGGTGTATCGGTTTTTTAACCAAGGTGTATCGGGCTCAAATATACAATATGATACACCTCGTATAATATTCAACGTATTATCTTTAACGTTGTTCTCAGCTCAACGATAGTATTTTTCAACTTTCTGAGTTTTCACCAAATGTAACTTTCAGGTTTTCCATGTGAGGCCCACCTTACACCCGAAGAAACTATGGGGGCATTCTTTTGTTGGATTTTGAGAGGGGAAAAGTCGATCGATGGGATTTTAATTCTCATTTATCAAGAATCCCATGTTCGTTTTTTAGATTTATGTAGGGATCAGGGAAAATTTATTTTCCTCCCCTAGGTGGGTAAATAACTTTCCCACCTAGGAGGAAAGTTGTTAACACTTGAATGGGACAAAAATGCCCCTTCTAATAATGGATTTTATGACTAAAATGATCATTAAATTATTTACCTGAGAAATAAAAGAACATGGGTAAATACACTTACTGGGAAAGTGTTTCCCAAGAAAAACTTACCCAAATAAGTAACTTACTGAAAAGCAAACAGGGTCTATATGGGAAAGCCCCACTTAAATGCTCTAACTTTTTGCATGATAATATCAGAAAATTAAATTGTCTCTTAATTATTTATAATCTAATTTCATAATTTAAAACTTAATGTTGTTCCCACATTTTACATATTACTGATTATTATATTATTGCATTTCCAATTGTTTGTGTTTATACACCTCTTTTTTTATAAAAAAAAAATGAATTAGGCACACCAAGAAAAAAAGGACAAAAACAATTAGTTTGAGAATATCCTAAAAACCATATGTATGCAATGAATCCAGCTTATCCTTTATGGGCATGTCAATATTTAGTACCTTCTACCTTTATCTTTTGTCATGCATGTGAAATGCATGAGGAGGTGACATCGTTCATACCTT